TGAAGTTGCCTTAGACACAGCTTCCCAGGCAGCCCCCTCGGGCCATTCCAGGCTCCCTGCCGAGCTCTGGGGGCGGAGTCAGAATCGCTGCTTCCTTCTCTGGGTCGGGCTGGCGCGCATGGGCGGGGGCTTGCCCGCAGGGTGTTCTGAGCCGGAGTCCAGTTAGAAGGCTCTCTCAGTGGATTCTGCGTCTTTTTTCTCCCAATCTCTCAGGTTTTGTAAGGTTTCCAATGTCTTCGGATCTTTTCTGTGTGATGTATGGGCGCGAGTGCAAGTACGGAGCTCCTTACTTCTCCGCCATCTTGCCCTCTCCCCCAAAGTCGGATTCTTAACTGACTGAGCCACCCAGGTGCCCCAAACTGTTGAGCTTTTATTTACATGATTATATTGGTCAGTTTTCCAAGTTCCATTTTCTGTGTGTTTGCACCTGATTTCTGTTGCATGGTCATTCTTGAAAGTGCATTCCCTGTTCCTTTAAACATGTCATGTACAGCTGGTCTGTATTGTCTGGCTATCATTGTCAATGTCTGCAGTCGTTGGGAATCTAAACCCTTTGGTATTTCAGTGGACCCATGTTCTTAGTGATTGGTCATTTTTGGCAATTTTTGTTTTAAGATGTTGATTTTAACTGGTTGGAATACTGCGGTTCTAAGTGGGGAAGCTTTTACCTAAGAACAGCTAGCTTCTCCTTCCTGGATAGCGGGAATGTGTCCCCGGTGAGGCCTGCTCTGTCTCCCTTTGCCTGCACTCGCGTCCTTGGATCCACATGCTGCTGAGACATCTCCGCCTCTAGACACCCCCATGCACCCGCTGCCTGCAGGCCCACGCTTGTCCCTGCCCCTTCCAGACGCCCCTGGCTCCTTGCCTTTGTGGGCCCGGCTTCCTGTCTACACGCCCACCTCTGCCAAGGGCTCAGCATTCATATTTTCTGGTTTGTTTGTCTTTTTTAATAGGGCTGGTTAGGGGAGTGGCTTGGAGACCTTGTCTGCTGCTTGTGAGACTGGTGATCCTTCAGGAATACTTTGTATTTGGGGTCCAGTTGTAGAAGGGAAAGTTCTTTAAAGTTCGATGCCTCGTGTGAACCATTGTCCATTAGAACACACTTATCTCATGTCTTTTTTTTTTTTTTTATTCATTTTGAGAGAGAGAGAGAGAGACAGTGCACACAAGTGGGGGAGGGACAGAGAGAGAGGGAAAGAGAGCATCCTAAGCAGACTTTGTGCAGAGTTTGACACTGGGTTCGATCTCAGTAACTGTGAGACCATGACCTGAGCTGAAATCAAGAGTTGGATGCTTAACTGACCTAGCCACCTAGGTGCCCCTTATGTCTTTATTTCTTAAAATGTGGGTGAGAACGCTAGCCTGTGTAATAGGAACTGAGAATAAGTAAGTATGATCAAGACTTTAGGTTGTATTTTTCTGTGAATGAACAAGTCACTGAGTTACTAACTAGGTGTAAACAGGTGTGCGTTACACATTCCTATAATCTTTGTGCTTATTTAAAAAGTATTTGCATGTAATTGTTAATTCACCAGGACAAATTGACAGAGGTTTGGGTGTGGGAAAGCTTTCAGAATTACTTTTGCATTTTACCTTTAGATCTGTGCTGTGATCCATTTTGAGTTACTTTTTGTGAAAAGTCTAAAGTCTGTATCTAGATTTTTTTTCTTGCGTGTGGATGTCTAGTTCTAAGATGTTTTGTTGAAAAGACTGTTGTTGCTCCATCAAATTGTCTGTCTCTTTGTCAGATATCCTTTGACTATGTTTATTTGGCTCTGTTCCATTCTGTCGATCTATTTGTCTCTTCTTCTGCCACTCCTGTTTTGGTCACTATAGCTTTACAGTAAGATTGGAAGTCAAGTAGGGTCAGTTCTCCTAATTTCTTCTTGTCCTTCAACATTGTGTTGGCTATTCTAGGTGCTGTGTCTCCCCGTGCAAGGTTTAGAATCAATGTGTTGATATCTACAAATTAACTTGCTGGGATTTTCATTGGGATTGCATTGGTTCTGTAGACTAATTTGGAAAGAATCGACATCCTAACAAGATTGTCTTCCTATCCATGAACATGGAATATCCCTCCATTTATTGAAATCTGCTTTGACTTAGTTCACCTTAGTTTTGTAGAATTATTTAATCAGAATTTGTGTTTATTCCTTTCATACCTCATGATAAAATGGAATATAACTATATATGTGGAAAAGTGAGAAACATTTTCTATTGCATCACACACACACACGTGTATATAATACATGGATGAATGAATGAAAGTATATATCTATCTGCACACATACACCTGTAGTCAAATATATATCCTAGCCAAAAACAAATTTATTTTTACCCCGTGACAGCCCTTCAAAATAATTTGTGGTGATAAAATGTTATTTAGAATGTAAAATGGGCATCATTCCAATAATGAACAGTCAAGACCAGCCTTGGTGAGAAAGCATTGCGATTTGAAGGAGAAAGACGTGATGGTCATCGTGGTAACAGTTTTGTTATTTATGGTGCATCTGTATGTACTCCCACCAGCCTTGCTTTTTACCTGGAGAAACAGGCTTAGGGAAGCTGGGCACTCACCCTGAGTCACACAGAAGTAAGTGGGGATGGGTTCCTACCTTCCCTCTGTGGGACCTCAAAGCACTCCACCAAAATTTTCTTTTTTATAGAAAAGCAGTGTTTTGCATGAGGCTGTCCTTTACCACGTAAATGAAAATGTTAACAAAAAAAATGAAAAATTCGAGAATGAAACTACAGATAATCTGTTGCCCTACGGAAAAGCTTCTAAGAAACAAAAGAGCCGACACATAATACATAAAAGCAATGGGTATTTAATAGGCCTAGCAATTAGGAGCCATCCAGAATTACCAGAAAATGCATTGGAAATGAAAGGATAAAGTGTTCGAAGGGAAAGAGCAAGAGAAGCCCATTATTATTACACAGCTGATACCCTGCCCGAGATGTCCCTATGAAAAGGCATTTTAGTACATTTCATCGTAAGGTACTTTAAAAATGTTTTTAAAGGCATTTGAGTACGCTTCAGTAGTAATAAGGGCATTTTCATACATTTCATTTAGTTTGGGTTGTGAATTTTTTAACCTACTTAAGGCATGTTTTAAAGGCATTTTATTCCTAATAAAGGGATTTTTGTACATTTCACTAAGTTGTGTGGTATGGTGAATTTCAGTTAGTTTGACAGTGTTTTTAATGTTTTAGTTCACTTGATTTTAAGCTAGGTTGTCTGTCTTCTACTCTGAATTTTGAAAACTGAAGAGGTTCTGAGGAAAACAGCCAAGGGGTGTGCCTTTGTGGCTTTGTTCATCCTTTGGGAATGGCCCAGGGGATGGGGGAGGGCAGCATGGTGCAAGGACCCAGGGCATTCCTGCATTTCACTAACTTCCTCTCCACAGAGGCCCCTGATGCCAGCAGGACACTGGGGAGAAATGCAGTTCCTAAGCTTATACGTCCTTTAATGAATGCTCTGCAGTGTTTTCCTTGACACCCTATAAAAGATCCTATTTTGTAGAGGAGTCCCTATTAAAACTTGTTTGGAGTTTGGGTTCAAAAGGCAACTGCAGGATAAATTGCTGGCTGTCCTCTTTGGAGAAGAGCTGGATTCTTCATTGGGCTCAGGTTGGGAGGTGGTTAGGGCCACCGGCCTCCTGAACAGCAGTTCGTTGGCTATGTTAAGCCGTTGGCCCACTGGGAGCCCGGCTCACCCCGCAGAGGCCTGGGGGTGCCATATGATGCTGGAAGTTCTCCAATGCCATGCGGGGCCCAGTCGGTCCTGCCCGGCATCGGCCCACAGGCTGCAACGCCAGCCCCGAGGATCTGGGGCATTTGATGAAGGCGCCTTGGGAATCCCCTTCCTCCCTAACAGTGTATTAAAAATCATAGTTTACAACGGTGTTAGCATGAACGTGTATGTAACTTTCGATCCTAAGAGCTTGTGTGTGTGTGTGTGTGTGTTTTGTTTTGATTTTAAAAGAAATTAAAACACACTGTGGACCCTTAAACGTGTCATAGGACCCAGGCGCTGTGTCTGCTGTGCCTAACGGAGAGGTTACTTTGCAGCCCAGACAAGGCACTTCTCAGTGATTGAGACCCTGAAATTTAAAAAATTAAAAAAAAAAAAAAAAAAAAAGACTGTAGCATTTAAAACCCAAAACAATATTAAGTCTGACTGTATGTACGTGCCCAGCACAGTAAGATGGTGGGTCTTTGTCTTCTTTACAGTAGATTTTTTCTTTTTTCTTTTAAATGTTTCATTTATTTCTGAGAGAGAGAGCCTGTGCACAAGCAGGGAAGGGGCAGAAAGAGAGAGGAGCAGACGATCTACTCCATGATGACAGTAGCGAGCCTGATGCCGGCCTGGAACTCATGAACCGTGAGATCATGATCTGAGCCAAAATCAGACGCTCAACCACCTGAGCGACCCAGGAGGCCCTTAGTTAGATCCTTTCAAAGACAAGTACAGGGAAGCCCAGGTAACGAACATCTCCCTCACGTCCTATTCCTCTCTGTTCCTGTACTTTCTGATTTTCACTTTACTGTCAGGCATATTTTCACATCATTTCTAGTCTTCCCAGATAAGTGAGAGCCAAGAAAGTCAAGGATTGTTCCTCCGTTACTCTCTCAGTGAAGGAAGTTAACTGTCATACGAGGAAACTAGCTGACTTGGTTATTTACAAGTTTGCTTTCTGTCCAGGTTCAGCTCATTTTGGGAGGTTTCCAATAAGATAAGTTGTCACGGCTCTGTGTGCGCGGCAGTTGTGATCTCAAGTTGGGTGTCCTCAGAGGACATGCTGTCATGTCCACGTACACACTTATTTGTGGTGTCTGAGCGTGGGGAGCGCCCCCACCTGCAGCCCATCTGATCCTCTTGGCACTGATTGGAAAACGTGTCTGAGGCTGTGAGTGCACCTCCGACACTTCATCACGGGCAAGAGTGGCAGCGAAGGAGAGAATGAGGACATCCGTCTGATAATCTTGTCTTCCGCCAGCTCTGCAAACATTTTCTTTTGGCCCTTCGGTCCTGCGCGCCGCCTGCTGTGGGAGCAGACGCGTGGTCACCGCAGTGGCGGCCAGCACAGGCCCCGGCCGGACCCCTGCCTCCCCCGCACCCTCAGCTCCACGCCCCACAGCAGCTCAGTCTCGTTCTCGGGGCCTCATTTTTCTCATCTGCAGAATTGTGCAGACTCCATGCCCCAAATAGGGGTGTCATAAATATTAGAGAGCACTTACAGGAATGTGTATCCGTTGGTATTTGTCGTGATTGTTCTTGCTTTTGTCTTGGATCATGGAATGCGAGTGATGGTGGGAGAGGAAGGGAAATGAAGTCAAATGAGGGAGGGCTCAGGGCTCCTTCTCTGCCCTTGATGTTAATCTGGAAAGGTCTCTGTGTGATTTGGCCCGTGTGCTCTGCTTCCCCGTGGTTTGGTATTGGGATGGGGCCATCTCCGGGGTGAAGCTGGGGCCTGCTAATGGGATGGGGTGGACCCCGTACGGACCAGAAAAGGTCAAGGGCTCACCAGGTTCTAGTATTTGAAAGAACCGTCCCCAGAGTCCCAGATGTTAGTATACCTTTTACCTTTCTGAAGCCTCAGTGAGTGTTCTTAGGGTCCTGATCATGTGGGTTCTTTGATGGAAAGTTCTGGGGGTGCTTTAGGGGCTCTGCATGTTTGGATGAGGGTTAAAGACCTTAGCTGTGTTCCAGCCCACAGGGAATGCTGTTCACGGGCCACGTTCTGGCAGCGCTTTGCCGAAACTAAAGCCTGAATCTTGCTGCCATGACCAAGGGAAGCACGACGTTTATCACGTCGTGGAATCCTATAGAATAGAAAGAGTATGCCTTTGGTGTGTGTGGCTAGAAACAGATAAGATAGAAAGTGAGCATTAGTGTGCTAAAGTGGATTTCAGAAAACGCATTAGGAAGAGGCTAATGATATATGCTCATTTTCTGTTTGCTGAGGAAGCGCAAGAGAAGTGGGGAGGGAAGCCAGCAAAATGGCACGCACACGTAAGTATTTCCTGCTCTCTTGTGTTCTATAGTTAGTACTTTCCGATCCTTCTCTGTTAACCTGTGATCCCGTTAAAACATTAATTGCCATGCATTAAAATAAAAGCCCATCACCCTAGAGACTCAGAGAGTTTTTAGGTTGTTAAATAAAATACTTGAAATCCATTTGGAAGCCTTCATTTTCTGAGGCCGGGGCACTTCTGATTCTCGGATTCAGGCAGGGAAGTTGGTTGTCTTATTTTTAACCTGATAGTAAATATCCTTACATTCACTTTGGCACAAAATCCATTTCTCCATTTATCAGGGAAAATCTAAATGCGGTGGCACAGCCGTTTTGCATAATTTACATATACAGTACTGGGTTACTTCTACTGAGAAACATCGTTATTGAAGGGAGAATTTAAATTCTTCAGGAGTTCCAACCATTCCGCTTCTGAAATGATGTTTTAAATTTTTTTAAAAAATGTTTTATTTATTTCTAGGAGAGAGAGAGAGAGAGACAGCGTGAGCAGGGGAGGGTCAGAGAGAGAGGGAGTCACAGACAGAAACAGGCTCCAGGCTCTGAGCTGGCAGTCAGCACAGAGCCCGACGCGGGGCTCGAACCCACGAACCGCGAGATCATGACCTAAGCGAAAGTCGGACGCTTAACCGACTAAGCCACCCAGGTGCCCCTGAAATGATGTTTTAAAACCTGGTGTATTCTGACACCAATTAATGCGGATGCCATTTGAGGACACGAACCCTCACGTCTTTCTAAACTATACTTTTGCAATGTTTCTCTTCCTCTTAGGAAGTTGAAGACCACGTGGCATTTTTAATAACAGTCCCAACTGCCCTGGCGATTTTCTTTGCGATATTCATCCTCGTGTGCATCGAGTCCGTGTTTAAGAAGTTGCTGCGCCTTTTCTCTTTGCTGATATGGATATGTCTAGTGGCCATGGGGTACCTGTTCATGTGTTTTGGCGGCACCGTCTCCCCCTGGGACCAGGTAAGCTGTTAAAATTTTTTTTGTGTGTGTGTTTTCTTTATATGCTCTGATTGATGACATACTTAGTCCCATAAACCTGGCCATAAACTGTAAATGGGAGACCCGTAGCTGGGAAGAAAGCCTTTTGAAATAGCTGGTCTTCTTGGTGCCGCGAGGGTGAAGTCACTCGGTGCCCATTTTGACTTACCAGACCTTCCAGTAGCCAGGGCGCAGTGCCTGGGTCCCACCTCGTCATTTGTTTCAGACGGCCGGGTCTGGATTTACTTCTCATACTGTGTGTAGCTGCGTGGTCTCCCCAGTCCATGAAATTTTTTACTATTCCAGGATCCCTCTGGGATTGGGGCCTTACCTGAACTCTTCAACTGGTTGTTGAAGGTGTACTCTTTCTCAGTTATTAGAGCTTTCTCCTTGCAGACATACCTCTGTGACCCTGATTTTATATCACCCTGCTTCCCTCATATCAGTAGGATTGCTTCATACACCTGTTGGGAAACTCATGGATCTTCATGTTGACCTTGGGGAGGAGGCTCTTGGTTTAGAAAATGGCCACATCTGAAGGATGTTTGCTCTTTGGGACTTTCTCCCCTTTGTGCTGCCATGTGGGTGTGTCCCCCGGATTGCCTGAGTAAGTGGTATGTTGTCTAGGGTGCAGGGCTGGGCTGCAGAAATGACCTACAGCTTGCTAGCTTGAAGCTCGTAATCGAAGCCATAGGGTCCCGTCGCCATCCAGGAAGAGTGTGCACTGGGCGCTGAGAGGGCTGTCACAGAGCCGATGGGGACTCAAGAAGTGGGGCTGGGTGGGAGAGGAACAAGAGACAGAAATGAATAGAGGAGAAGGCATTAGGAGGCCAGGACCAGCGCAGGGGAATGCAGGAGAGGCCAGAGACGAGAGATTCACGATGGCAGCGGACAAGAGGGCTCAAGTGCCCCGCCCGGAGGAGAGCCTTGCTGGCCTGCTGCAGTTGGAGAGAGCCCTGGATGAGCTCCCCAGCGGGGAGGTTTCCAGTGGGTTCCCTAAGGAGGTGGTTTGGCTGTTTCCTGGCCTCTGCCAAGCCATCATCCCGTTTGGCCTCAGTTTCTCTTGCAAAGGGAGCGGACGCTGCTGTTGCAGACAGCTCCCCTGGCCAGTCTCCCCATCACTGTCTCCTTCAGGCCCTTTGCAGGGCCGGGTGTGTAGCCCGGGCTCCCAGGCTCCCCGCTCCCTCCCCACCCCAGATCCCCCCTCCGCCCACTTGCCACACTCTGGCCTCACCCAGGCGCCGTCAGGGCACACGCTGTCCCTCCCACCTTCACCATCACTAGTGGGACTGGAAGAGGACACTGGCCAGGGCGCCGCTTGTGGGGCTGTAGCACCCGCCGGGGGTCAGTGCCTGCGCCACCCCCGCCTTGTTTGACAACGTGGCTTTATAAGAGCCTTGCTGCCTGGAAGGGCCAGTATTGTGTCTTTGTGCCTCTGTTTTCCTTGTGTCCTGCATCCTCCAAGCTTACTTTTCTGTATGAATTACAGAATCGGTGCATCATGGTCGGTGAAGACTCCAGGTGAGATCTGGATTTAAATTCTATGGAATTTCTCAGTTTTTGCATCGGATGATGTAAAACCTCTAGGAAGTAATAAAAGGGCACTATTTAAGATCCAGAGATTTGCTGTCGTATTGCATGGACTCTTTCCATGGAATGACGTGGTATGTCCACCCAATAATTACGGTTTTCTTTTGTCTGAAGACTTTTCTTTCCTTCATAAAGTCAGTGGTCATTTTAGTTAGGCTTGTTCTTAGGTGCCTAAAGTTTTTTTGTTTAAAAGAGGGATTTTTTCTTTTTTGTTTCTTTAATTTTTTAAAAAAAGTTTATTCATTTTGAGAGAGACAGAGACCCCATGAGCTGGGGAGGAGCAGAGACAGAGGGAGAGAGAAAGTCTCCCAAGCAGGCTCCGCGCTGTCAGCGCAGAGCCGGACGCGGGGCTCAAACTCACAAAACTGTGAGATCCTGACCTGAGCCGAAATCCAGAGTCGGACACTTAACGACCTTGAGCCCGCCAGGTGCCCCAAAGGGATTTTTTTTTTCCTAATTACCTTTTCTATTTGGTGCACGTTGGTGCATAAGAATGCTATTTTTTTTTAAATGCTTATCTGTATCTGGCAATCTTGGAGTGAACTCTTTGTTAGTTTATCTGAGGGTCTCAATTGATCTATATAGACAGTATTAGCATCGTAAGGTAATTTAAGTAAACATTTTCTTCTTCCTTTCAAGTCCTGGATTCACTCTGTTCACACATTTTGTATTTTCTAACTATATTAGCCTGGACTTGTCATGCAGAGCAATACTGTGCAAGGGGCCTCACGTCTGCTTCCAGCCTAACCTTGTGATTTCACTAGTAATGTAGTGTTTGCTTTGTTTTTATTATTACTGTTTTGCTAGAACCAATTAATCAGGATGACGACCTCCTACCTGCCTGGGGTGCTCTTTCTGCAAGTGTTATGTGGCCCTGTGTTACCTCCATTAACCTTGTAGCTCTTAGAGCAGCCTCCCCGACCTCCAGGGCTCCCCCCCCATCATGTGCTGCACCCCTCGCTCAACCTGCTGCAGTTTTTCCAATGACTGACCATCCCCCTTCGAGGATAGACCCCTGGCAGGGGATGCGTTGTGTCTTCACACGTACGAGAGCCCTCGGCCACCAGCAGGCTGTGTGGCTCTAGTTTTTCATCTCCAGATTTAACAATGGATTTTTTTTTTTTTTTGTAGAAACTTACTCTGTTTTTACCTATCTTTTGGTTTTATAACATTCAGTTTGGTTTTATTGCTACTATCCACCTGCTTTTAAAAATCTCTTGGAGTGCATGGGGGGCTCAGTCAGTTAGGCATCCGTCTTGTGCTCAGGTCCTGATCTCACAGTTTGTGAGTTTGAGCCCCGCGTCAGGCTCTGTGCTGACAGTTCAGAGTCTGGAGCCTGATTCTGATTCTGTGTCTCCTTCTCTCTCTGATCCTCCCCGTTCACGCTCTGTCTCTCTCAAATACAAATAAACATTTAAAAAGTTAAAAAAAAAAAAAATCTCTTAGAGTATCTTTTTTTCTTTTTTTTTTTTTTTAATATTTTTATCTATCTCTAGGAGAGAGAGAGAGAGACAGCGTGAGCAGGGGAGGGTCAGAGAGAGAGGGAGTCACAGACTGAAACAGGCTCCAGGCTCTGAGCCGGCAGTCAGCACAGAGCCCGACGCGGGGCTCGAACCCACGAACCGCGAGATCACGACCCAAGAGAAAGTCGGACGCTTAACCGACTAAGCCACCCAGGTGCCCCAAAAGTGGCATTATTTTTTAAAAGAGGTGATAAAACGTGCTCTATTGGAAAGATGCTGGACGAGGGATCAGAATATTTGTGATTTTAGTCCAGGCTTGGCTGCCTATCTGATAGGGTTATGATACAGATCAGGTGAAATTATTTNCCACGAACCGCGAGATCATGACCTAAGCGAAAGTCGGACGCCCAACCGACCAAGCCACCCAGGCGCCCCATCTTAGAGTATCTTAAACCTTCTTATTTTGGAGCTGTTGAGTCAAGATTGATTTCTGTCAGGCACTGAGTTTGTTGGTTAAGTGCCTGGTCTTGGTGATTTCTGCACGCTCTGACAGTTTTGGGTCCAAGCTCATACTGAGTTGCGACTTCCTCGCGCCCTCCCCAGCCTGTGGCCCCACCTGTGGGTGGACCCTTGCCTCCCGCAGCCGCCAGGGCCCTGTGCAGAAGGGGTGTGTGTGCGGAGCGTGGCCCCACTGACTTTGCAGGAGGAGTGGCCGGTTCAGCCGGCGGCCCCGGGCACATTTCTTGGGCCCCAGCCGTTCCTGCTGCGTATGTGATACAGGCCGCAGCCAGGCTCCGGGTTGCGGCTCCCGTCGCCTTGTTTCCCAGCTGGGGGCCTGGTCAGCTGTCTCCCGCCGTGGGCCCGCTCATGGGTCTTGCCGGCCGAGGGACACTTGCACCCGCTCCTCCTCTGGGCTTTGAAATCCTGCCCCAAACGGTCAGTGCAATGATCTAACATGGAAGTATTCTGTCATGTTGACCACAACCCAGCACCTTTCTGTTCGAGCACCACTGAGGGGGACCCCCCAGTGAGCACTGACCTGTGAGAAGTGTGGCGGCAAGTTCGCTGTTAATTAAGGGGGTGTGGTTCCTACTGGCAGGAGGTAAATTCATCATCTTGCCATAGGGTAGGGGGCAGGGCGCGCCTGCACAGACAGAGGGTGCTCTCCACGTAGGACGGCTCACCGCTGACACCCGTGGCAGGTGGAGGCTCCCAAGACCGGCCTGAAGTTTGAGGACTTGTTAGAAGGACTCGCAGAGCCTATTGAAGCTGTTGTGGTTGGGGTTTCACTACAAAGAAAGTACAGAGGGGCCGCCTGGGGGGCTTAGTCGGTTGGGTGTCCGACTTCGGCTCAGGTCATGATCTCACGGTTCGTGGGTTCGAGCCCCGCGTTGGGCTCTGTGTTGACAGCTCAGGGCCTGGAGCTGCTGCGGATTCTGTGTTCCCCCCTCTCTCTCTGCCCCTCCCCTGCTCACACTTTGTCTCTCCTTCAAAAATAAATAAACATTAAAAAAAAAAAAAAAAGAACAGATGAGCATCAGCTGAGGGAAGGGCCCCAGGGCAGCTCCCGGCTGTGGCGCGTCCCTGCCCCCTCCCTGTGGAGTCGAGGACAGCCCAGCAGCAGGTGTGGAGTGTTGCCCACCAGGGAGCGTGGCCGAGCCCCTCTGTGCAGAGGGTTTGCTGGGACTCAGTCAGGAACTGCCGGCGGGGCTGACCGTCTGTCCCCAGCCTTCCCAGCCTGCTCTGAGCACTGTGGTCTCCAGCTCTAGAGGCACAGCTGACCCCGCGTGGCCCCCTGTCCCCCACGTAAATCACAGTTGGACCTTTGGCCAAGGCCACTAGGCCGCAGACACTTGCTGTCACGCAGGACATGCCAGGGGTCTAGAGAGGACGGGAGCCCAGGGCAAAGGGCAGGCCTCTCTTTAGGTG